CCCCAGGAACTGCTGCTGCTGAGGCGCTGCGCGCGCAGGAGGCCGCGGAGGCATTCTGCGTTGCGCCCCGCTGCGGCATCGGCTTGCGCCGGCCGGGTGCGCGGCCCCCAGTGTGCCGCTGGCGTTGCCGGCCTCTGTGCTGCGACACGGCTGCTCCGCTGCGGCTGCTGAGCGCGCCGAACACCGCGCCGTGCCCAAGGTTAAGCCGGGCCTGTCTGTCTACAGGAGGGACGATGTTTGAATCATGTTTGCACTCTGTTTTGCAGTACTTGCCGATCTTTCCTCCAGATCCGCCTGTAGGATGACGTGCCCGACCTAAGCCTAAGGCAGGGCCGTTGGAAGCGCCCTTGCCCCAGGTTTGGCGGAACCGCGGCCGGCTCCCAGCTGCTGCTGGCGCGCCCGTGCCCGGAGGCCACTGGCCTGCTGCCGTCGCCGCGCCCGGAGGAGGTGTTGCCGCCGCCATGCCTCAAGCAGATAACGTCCGGGTTCCCCGTGCGGTTGAAAGCCTTGAAACCAAATATTCGGGCAAGTTTATTAGCGCGGCGTTCGCCCCCCCCTCCCTCTCGCCCCTCTTCAGACGAATACTGGCGTTCAAGTGCCTTTTGGCTTGCGTGATGTCCGCACGTGCAAGTCGTTTGCGGCGTGCTTCAGGTTCAGCCCCCCCCTCGTCCATGCATGATGGGCCTGTAAGTTGGAGGGTGGCAGGAGGTGGGGGATGGGAGGAGGAGGAAGAAGAAGAGGAGAAGGAGGACCTCCCCCCCCCTGCTTGTGGTCGTGGTGGTGGTGGAAAGCAAGCCCACCAATGCAAGTTAACTCGCCAGGGTCTAGAGGAAACAGGCTCTGATGGGCCCCAGCCCTGAGGCCATCGACCTGCTGCCGTCGCCGCGTCTGGAGGGGATGTTCCGGAGATCAAGCGCGTTTTGGAGGTTAGCCACTCGGTCGCACGCGTCCTTCAGACGGATGCTGACGCCGCGCCCAGGGGCCATCGGCCTGTTGCCACTGCGTGCCTCGACGCGGTGTTGCGAGTGTGCTGCTGCCGGAGGGGTGCAAATAAGCGTGTTCAGGCACTACCCTTGAGCTTTCAGTTGATCGTTTTTTGTCGGATCACGTGGACCGGCTTGTAAATGATGCCATAGGTATTACGCATGCACGCGAGCAGGTGGGCGCAGCCAGGACCTTTGTTCGAGCCGCACCTTGCGATCCAGACGTCGCAAGTTGATAAATTGAGGAGGTTCCTGCCGGACGGATCGTTGCGGAACCCTTCCCTCGGAGGCAACGTTGTCTTGACTAGGGTGCCGAAATATTGTGATGATGTTGGACAGGATCCTCGTACTCTGTGCGCCCCCCCCCTCCCCGGCGCGGTGGGGCGCCCCTGTTTCGCCCCCCTCCCCCTCCCTCCTTCTCTCCCTCCGTGCCCCTCGCGAGATGCCGCGGGCCCAAGCCACGGCGGTCGTTAGTGTTAAGTCGGGCGCGTCCCCTTACAGGAGGAATATTCAGGAAAAGTCAAAAAATAGACTTGGGACGAGTTGTTGATCATTTTTAATTCGTCGTTTAAACTGCATTTTTATTCTTCGCCCAAAATCGGCCCGTAGGGGGACATGCACGACCGAACGTTAGTGTGTGAGCTCGCCTGCCAGTTCCGATGCCTGGAGCCATTTGTCGACACCTTGAGCTGTTAAGGCCCAGTGAAGCGACCACCCCCCCCCTTCAAGTTTTCGTTCAGTGCGTCGCCCGAGCGTCGCCCGTGCGCCGGCCCTGGTTTGCGTCTCTGTCCCGAATCCCGGCCTCCCAGAGCGCGTGGGCGACATATGGCGCGACTTCGGAATTGCTCTGGCGATATATAGGTTTCCGACGCCCGTGCACCAGCAGCCATTTTGGCGGTCGCGGCGCACTCCTAGTTCGACGGTCCACCAACGCGTTCTGTTCCCAATTCGGCGCAAGAGGATTTGCTGGTGCTCATTGTCGGGGGCGCCAACCGTTGCTGAGGACGAATACGCCTCGCGTTGATTGGGGGCTGCGCGTGTCGCGCCCCGGTGGGGGTGACGTCACGTCGCGCGACGCGGCGCCACTTCGCCCCGTCGCATCGCGCCCCGCACCCCCATGTCGTTTCGCTCCAATCCTCCTGCCCCCCCCTCTTCCTTCCTCTTCCCCTCGTCCAACGCGCTGCGCGTTTTGTCCCGTTTACGAAATTTGTATTCAGTTCTTTTATGTCAGGCTGCCGTCCTGTCCGCCTCCCTACTCGCCCCCCGTTGTCCTTCCACCCTCCTGGAACTTCTTCTCGCCCTCCTCGCTCCCGCCGCCCCCATTTCGATCGCCTTCCATCGCTCCCGCCGCCGCTGCGCCGCCCCCGCGCGCCCCCTCCTCGCCCGTCCGTTCCCATTTCCGCCCGCCCTTCCCTCGCCTCACTTCCATCTTCTTTTCCCCCCAAATGCATCGGCGGGCGAGACGTCGCCAAATTGCTGCAGCGACGGACCGATGTTCAACATCTGACGGGGCGTGCGCTTGAAATGGATTGGTCCGTGCGCGCTGCATCTCCATGTCGTCTCTTGGTCTCCTCGCGTTCGTAGTTCTCACGTGCGTGTCTCGCTATTTCTACGATTGCCGCGCGCATCCCTTGATTGTTTCGCCAGCGGGCCGTGCAGTTCACATGCCGTCAGGAGTCCACGGCGCCCTTCGAGCGATTCGCGCGCGACCTGCGCGCGACGCGTGAACGACCCGCGCGACGCCCGCGCGACGCACGCGCGACGCGCGCGCGACGCGCGCGCGACGCACCCCGACCCGCGCGCGACGCACCCCTGCCGGCGCGCGACGCACGATCGACCCGCGCGACGCACGCGCCACGCGCGCGACGCACGCGCGACGCACGCGCGACGCACGCGCGACGCACGCGCGACGCACGGGCGACGCGCGCGCGACGCATGCGCGACGCAGTCGCGACTTTGCCCGCCCCTGACATTTCTCCGAGCAGCGATGCGCAACGGCCGTCGGCCCGCCGTGCTTGCGCTGTTCACAAGTGGCGGCGGCTGCGCCATCCATTGCGCCAGGAAGGGCGGTGCTTGCCCCTGTGATTTCCCTTTTCCTTCCTCGTCGTCCCTCCTCTTTTGTCATTCCTCCTCCTCCTTCGTCCTCTCTCCTGCCTCGCCCCCCTCTCTCCTCCCCTTCTTTTCCTCCTTTCTACCAGCCTCCCTCTGTCAGTGCCTCCCCCCTCCTCTCTCGTCTTTGTTTTTTTTTCCCTTGCCACCCCGTGCCCCTCTTCATTCTCTTTTCTCCTTCGGCCCCCCTTCCACGGCCGCGGCGCGTCACCGCGAGCGGCGCCCCCGCCTTCCGCGAACGGCCCCGCCGCTGGCGGTGGAGGAGGAAGATCACGAGGAGAAAAGGAGGGGGGAGGGGCAGGGGCGCGAGGCGGGCGCGGCGGCAAGGGCGGCCCGGCAGGTGTAGGGGGCGGGGGGAGGGACGGAGTGGGCGGGTGCTTCTGTAATGGTCATGTTGTGATCATGGTCGTGGTCGCGTTCGTCGCCTTGGTCGCGTTGGCGGCGGTCGTGCCGCTGGTGGTGGGCGGGCTGGTGGTGGTCACGTCGGTGATCGTGCTGGTGTCGGTCGTTGTGGTGGTCGCGAGAAGCGTGGTGGTCGTGGTGGTGATGATGGCGGTAAATGGTGTTGGTCGTAATCGTCGCGGTGGATGTGGTTGCGGTCGCATCCGTTTGTGGTGATCGTGGCGGCGGTAGTTTTGGCGCTGGCGGCGGTTGCGGCGGCTGTGGCGGCGGCTGGGGGGACCTGTTGGCCTATCGCCGGGCTGCGTTCAGCAGCATCGCTGAATTTGTAATGTTAGTGGGATTTGCAGATCTGCCGAGGTAGCCCAGCGGCCGCCTTCTTCTCGCCAAGAGGGCCGCAGCGTGGGCGACTTTCTTTTTCCCGAAGGCGATCCGCCTTTTTAAGCGGCCGTGGAGAGGGCGACGCGCGTGCGATCCGCCCCGTGGGCGTCCGCCGCGCTGGCGACGCACTCACCGTAGTGCCGCCTTGCGAGGGCGACGTGCGCGTTCGAGAGGGCGGCTGGCCTTTTCGGCGGCCGACGCACGGGCGACGAATGCGCGACGCACCTCCTGTCGCGAAGGGGGGGGGGGTCAGCACGCCGGTCGCTTTACTGGGCCTTAACACCTTGAGCCGATGCCAGCCAGGATCCTTGATGCGGAGTTGGGAATGCTTGGAGTTCAGGAGTGTGGGGAGTGGACGGTATGGGGTTGGAATTGTTCCCTGTCGGGCCTTCGGGTTTCGGGACGACGTGTCCCGTCGGCCTCGTCGCTGAGGCTGTCTGTAATGCTATTTGAACTATTCTTGGCGCCCGTGCCGAATGTTCACGCCACTGTTGTTTTCCTCAGTCAGCGCCTACTGTGCACTGTTTGGGGTCCAGCTCCAGTTTCATTCGGCGAGGTGAGTGCCGCTTCCTCCCGAGGCTGGGGTAATTAGTATATATGCGTCCCAGTCTCACGCCCTCCTTCTCGGTCTCATGCTTCTTCCCTCACTCCCTCCCCCTCCCGACTGGCCGAGTGCCTACGATACGGTAGTCGATCCCGTGTACGACCCGATGCCTGCCGCGCTGCTTGACTTAGGGAGATGGGTCTTTTGGAGGGATAGTGACACAGGGGTGGGAAGGACAGAAAGGCACTGCGCTCAGAGCACCGTAGGGCCCGTGCAGCGTTTTTCGCCTGACTACTGTTCTGCGAGTGGCGTGCCGGCCGCCTGTGACAGGCTTACAGCTTACAGTGGGGGCCCATTCCAAAAATCACCCTGCTTGCCTCCAGGGTGCCATTGGTTTCTTGGATTTCGATAGTTTTACGATGGAGAGCGTGACGCTCCCACACCAGAAGTCAATGTCAATGGACGTCCTGGGGTCTCAGGCTTGGGTTTCTTGTGGAAGGTATCTTGTGGTCGAGCCCCTACTGTAATCAGTATCGAAATCTAAACAAACATCTACTGCCCCATCTCCCCGCCAGCGGCCCCAGGCCCGCACGGAGGACCTCCGGCGCGAGCGCCGCCTGAACGAGCGCTTCGCCTCGGGCGCCGCGTTCCCGCTCGACGACGGCGGGCCGGGCAGTCCAAGTGGGGCAAGGGAGCACTCAAGCAGTGGCGAATCGTTCCGACCTGCCTACAGGCCGACCGAAGGATGTTCAGAGAGCTTGTTGTGGTTCGCACGAGCTGCTCTCAAGGATTGTTTGGCCGCGACACTCTTGTTCTGTTACACATCGGCGTGGCGTCCTGAGAGTAGGAGTCCTGTTGTTCGACCGCTGTTTTTCGTTATGGGAGCATGCCGTGGTACTTGGGCCCATCGTAGAGTGCCGGGACGGTCGCGCCCTGCTCAGAATGCACGCGCGGAGGATCTTTCTGGCCCCTTCTCGGCGGCGGCTCACGGGTGAGGCCCTCCGAGACGGGGCCCTTCGGGACGAGGGCCTCCAGCGCTGAAGGTTCCATGTGCGGTCCACTTCCTAGCAGTGCGGCCCCGCACCTCGGGGCCCCATCTTTAGACCGTCGACATTCTCTGTCTCCAGACAGAAGATGCGGCTCGATGTGGAGCCCATCTTCTCCACGCCGACGTCGGCGTTGCACTGCCGACGGTCGCGGATGCGTCGCCGATGCATCGCGGATGCATTGCACGGAGGGCCAGGCATCGCACAGAAGTCCAGGTCCTTTTCGTTGATTAATGTCTCGGGGCGGACAATTGGGGGGTGGTGGGAGTGTGTGTGTGTGTGTGTGTGCGTGCGTGTGCGTGTGCATGTTATTGTTCTTGACGCTTCACTGTCTAACACCGCTCTGGTTCAGTGGCCGCAGTTAGCCTCGGGCTGTCGCGCTTCAGCTAACTTTGAGATGAATATGTTCCTCGTCTTCTGGTCGCTGCTTGTTTCGTTTGGACTTACGGCTCCGGCGTCGCTTGTACGCTGCGCTATCGACAAGCTTCGGTTGTAATTCGTGCTTCCATGTGCTGTTCGCGCTTGAGAACCCTATGCGCCGCTGCAGCTGGTTTCGGCCCCGCCGCTTCGCGCATCCCTCGATACATGGTCGATCCCGGCGGTGGGATGCGCTGGGAGCGACTATGCGTCCCTCGTGCGAAGACTGCACTTATCTCTGGGGCTGATTTGGAACCCCCCTGGGGGAGCCTTGGGTAGTCGTGAGGCCCTCTTGGCATGTCTTGGGGCCCTCTCGGGAGCTTTGGGGCAATATTGGGGCTATTGTGGAGGCTTCCCGGGCAGTCTTCGGCTGTCGGAAGCCCGAAATGACGAGAACAACACAACCATTGACAACCGCACTGGGAATCAGAGGTGTTGCCTCCTGAGGGTATCCTGGAGTTCCTCTTGGAGCCGTCCTGAGGCCATCTTAGGCACTCTTGGGTCCATCTTCTCCGTCTCGGAGGCATCTTAGGGCCATGTTGGGCTCGTTCGGGCCCATCATGGCCGTCTTGGAGGCGTCTGGGGCCACATAGAATGCCAGACTGGGCCATCTTAGCCGTCTTGAGGCCATCCTGGACGGAAACACTCAACGGAAATGCAGCTGCAGGAACGCGCTGAGACCTGTGATCGGGAGCTTTTTTGAAAGGGGTCCAGCGGTTAAACCTTGGCAAGCTGGGGGGCGGCGGATTTTCGGTCGTGGACAAAAAGGCGTATGATAGGCGTCTTGGGGTCTATTGGGAAGCCTCTCGGGGGCATTTGTGAGCCACTTGGGGCCTCTTGGGGACGCTTGGGGGGCGTATGAGGTTTCGGGGACACATTTTAGGACATGCTCGAAATGTCGCTTCGGGTTCCCCCTCTGGGGCCTCTCTCTCTTGGGCGCCGCCTGGGCCGTAGTGGGGCCCTATGGGGCCATCGTGTGACCCTCTTGGCTCGTTTTTGCGTTGTGGCCTCTGGGAATGTCACGCGACGACTCGCGAGAAGCCCCAAAGAGGCGAGCATTAGAGACGTATGAACAACTGTCGTGGCCTGAAGAAGGTTCAGAACCCAGTAGATGGACGACATGAGGGCACTCATTTAAATCTGGCGTTATGGTGAGAAGGCATATGATGTTTGTTGAAACCTTGGGGCCTCCTGGAATAACCTCTCATACATGCTGAGGGTCGTGATGGATCTGGCCCATGGGGAGGACACGCACCGAGGGTCGCCATTGTTAGGTTTCGGCCATACCTCGAGATGAGACGTTTCTCGTGGACGTGGAATCACCTCCCCAAATTTCGCGCGATCTCGTGTGAAAGGGTGTGCTAGCTGGCTGACACGGCGGCAGCGTGGAGAGGAGTAGCAAGGATGTGGGAGAGGCGAGGAGGAAGGAAGGCGGCCGAGTGGGAATTGTTTGGAGCGCAGGCGTTCTCTGGCCAGTCTGGGCCGGTTGGCTGACACCGCGATACAACGGAAGAGAAGCAGGGGGATGGGAGGACGGAAGATTGCAGTCAATCCGCATGGTAAGGATGGGCAACCTTCCCAAGGGTACCCTTGCGTCCTTGTCTCCTCGGTCCATCCTTGACCACTTTCGTCGGCCGCGCCCCGATCGAAAAGCTTCGAGATGGGCGTCCAATGCCCTTGCATCCTTATCATGCGTCCTACTATGCGGGTTCGCTGTGGGGCAAGGAACAGCAGGGCGGGAGGGGGCCTGGCAGCGATGCCCCAGAGCACCCGCCGGGGGGGGGGGCCGAAGAGGATCGCGCTTCGCGCGCCGCGGCCTGGGCCGAGGCAGCTGCCCTTCTCCAGCGTGGCCGCGCAGGGGGCGGGGGGGCGCGAAGAGCACTGCGCAGGGCGGGGCGCGGGGCGCGACGCCGGGTGGCCTGAATGCAGTCGGCCCGCACGGTAAGGACGGGCAACCTTCCCCAAGGGTTAGGATGTTCCAGCCTATTGTAGCCTTGATCACCAGACAGAATTTCGAGCACCCAGAAAATACCGAAACTCGAAGGTTTTCACGTGTCGGGCCCTGGGAGGCACTCTTCAGACACTCTTTCGACACTTTTCAGGGTGCTCGAAATTATTTCTGGGATGTGGTCTTCAAGTACGATGGGAGCAATATAACCCAAGGGTACCCTTCGCGTCCTTGCCTCCTCGGCCCATCCTCGGCCGCTCTCGTTGGCCGCGCCCCGTTCGGGCGCCTTCAGCATGGGCGCCCAAGGCCCTTGCATCCTTGGCGCGCATCCTTGCGACTCGGGCCGACTGCTCCAGCGGCCAGGAGAGCGAGGGCCTCGTGGAAGTCCAGAGGAAGGGGGGGGGACGGTCTGTGGGGGTTGAGCGCAGGGGGCGAGGCGCGGCGACGAGGAACGAGGCAGGGAGCCAGATCGGGATGGCTGCCTTCGCGGGCAGACCTGGCATGCATGGGATATTTCGTTTGGCGCTCCGATTTGGTAAACGGGTCCTTTCGAGGGGGCAGGGGGGGCGCTTCAGCTTCTAGCCTCCGATCGCGTTCGTCCTTGCCCATTCCGCTCTTGTCAGCAGGTCGCTGCGGGAGGGGAAGGACAGTGATGGCGAGCGGTATTTGCTTGCCTTGGTCTCTCAAGTTGCCATACCAGCGATGGCTGGGCGCTGCACCCCAGGAGGAGGATCACCGAGCGCGCTCCACTACTCGCACTCGCAAACGACATGCAAACATATTTTTCTTCGAGCGATCCCCACCGAAACCTTCGGCGTTTGATCCGGAAGGTGCGTGCGCGCTCTCATTGGAACGATGTGTGCGGGGCTCGGCGGGCAGAGTGGGCGAGTCGGCGCGGGGTGTGGTGCTAGTGGTAGCTTGTGTTGGTTGTGCAGAGAGGGCGTTGAGTCCGCACGGGCGCGCTTATATTATGTTGTGAGGTTTGGTGTTATGCTATGGTCTGTGTGACCAATTCTGGCATCGCTTACAGTGCTATGCTGTGCTACGTGTTGCTATGACATATCATGTGATGTCGCGCTTTGGCATGGTAATCTCTGTCACGGTATGTAATGGTAGGTGTTGTGATGTTGTGTGATGGTGTGGTTTGTTTGGCCATGATAAATTATGTGATGCTATGTGATGCAATGTCAGGTTATTACGTTACGGTCGTTTATGTTGTGTATGTTCCAATACGTCATACCATGCGTTGGTATGGTGTGAAGCAACATGATATCTTATGCCATGGTATGTGGTGGTGCGGCATGTTCTGTTATGGTATGGCAAGTTATGCGTTGGGGAGTGTGCCGGTATGCTTGATTTGTCATGGTGTGGAATGGTATTTGCAATGATGCTTTGTTATGGTATGCATCGCTCTGTCATGGTGCGTTATGTTACGATGTGGTATGTCATGATCTGGTATGTTATGCTCGGATATGTTCTGTTCGATGGTGTGGTGGTATGCTCTGTTCTGTGGGGGACCTGCGGATCTGGCGGCCGCGGTATGCAGAGTGTGCGAGTCGGCGCGGGGGAAGAGACCCTCAAGGATTTTCCAGGGACCTGGGGATCTGGCGGCCGCAGTATGCAGAGTGGACGAGTCGGCGCAGGGGGCGGGACCATCAGAGATTATCGGGAGCCTGGGGATCTGGTGGCCGCGGTATGCAGGGTGGGGGGGGGCTGCGGATCTGGCGGCCGCGGTATGCAGGGCGGGGGGGGGCGGGACCACCAGGGATTATTGGGAGCCTGGAGATTTGGCGGCCGCGGTATGCAGGGCGGGCGGGCCGGGAGGCTTGCTCTTTAAATCTAACGACCCCAACTTGTCGGGAGGCGAACACATGTTTTCTTTAGATCCAGGCCATTTGCGAGTAGTGGAAAGCGCTTGTCGAGAGGAGGAGGAGGAGGAGGAACAGGAGGAAGAAGGGAGGGGATGGGCATGACGAGTTGAAGGAAAGAATGGAGATGGAAGATAGGGAGGACTTCGAGCTAGGTGCGGTCGCGCCATTCCTGATATCGTAATCCTCCCACGCGTACTTGCCCATTAAGCTTGTTTGTCTCTATCCTTCGACGGGTGCCAGGTCCAACCTGAAACCCCAAATGAATACCATCGTGTTATGCGCAACAACAGAAGGAGAGTTGTGTACGTTGGAGGAGGTGGCGCATGAGCGAAAGGATGAGCAGGAGGACGGGGATGAGGATGAGGAAGGAGGAGGAGCAGGAGGAACAGAAGCAGCAGGAGCAAGAGAGGGAGGAACGTGAGGACCAGGAGGACCTGGGAAGGCGGAGGAGGGAAAGGAGCGGGGCCACAACGACGAGGAAGGACTCGGATCCCGAATTGTGGCCCGCGTTGCTAGGGCGAGAGAGCCATTCTGAACGACGGGAACAACACGTCTGTCCCAAAGTGAGGCCAGCACTGCACCGTGAGCACCTGTTTGAAACGCCGAATGCGTTCCGATGGCAGCATATCATTGTAATCGTATGCGCTAGAACACAAATATGCGAGAGAACGCGAGCCACACTCGGAAAAGATCCGGGAGAGAGGATAATTGTATTTATGTGCATTTTTTGGTTACGCCGAGTGACGATTTTCTGGAGCTCGGGCGTATGACACCGCAGCGCCACGGAGGTGACGGAGGAGGAGGAAGATGATGAAGAGGAGGAGGAAGAGGAGGAGGAGGAGGACGGGGCGTGAGCGGGACTGTGCGTGGACGCTGAGCATGGCTGCGATGATGGTGATGGTAGTTGTGATGATGGTGGCGATGGTGATAAATGATGAAGGTGGCGGTAATGATAGGAGGAGGAGGAGTGCTAGCAGGGGGACGAGCGAGCGCGGAGTGAGGAGAGGGATGCTGATGATGATGATGATGATGATGATGATGATGATGATGATGCTGATGATGATGCTGATGCTGATGCTGATGCTGATGCTGATGCTGCTGATGCTGATGCTGATGCTGATGCTGATGCTGATGCTGATGCTGATGATGCTGATGATGAGGAGGAGCAGGAGGAGGAGGAGGAGGAGGAGGAAGAGGAGGAAAGGGAGGAGGAGGAGGAGGAGGAGGAGGAGGAAAGGGAGGAAAGGGAGGAAAGGGAGGAGGAGGAGGAGGAGGAGGAGGGAGACAAGACGCGGGAGGATGATGAGGAGGAGGAGGAAAAAGACAGGGCCTATTCCTGGGCAGGGGCAGGTGCCCCGAGGGTTGGGGGAAAAACTCACCAGCAGACAGAAGGGCGGAAAGTGAGGAGGAGGAAAATGATGAGGAGGAGGAGGAGGAAGAGGAGGAGGCGGAGAATGAGAAGGAGAAAGCCGAGGAAGGGGAGGAGGAGGCAGGAAAACCCAAAACCCGCTCCCACCCCCCTTCCTGCACCCCCCCCCCCAGGCGAGGGCCTGCCCAAGGTCGCCGCCAGGCCGCTCGGGCAGCAGAGGCGCCGCCGGCCTCGGCGCGAGGTCGCGGGGCCTGCCGGCAAGGCGCCGGCCCGCCGCCCGCGTTGCCGCTTTCTTTGCAGATTCTTGCGGGCTGACTTGCATGCTGCTCCTCTTCTAATCTTCCTCCTCCTCTTCCTTCTCCTCCTCCCTTCTTCGCTCCTCCTCGCATTCCGGCGAGTTGGCTTGCATGGTGGGGGCAGGAGGGCGCTTTTTAGATTTTGGCAGTATTTGGGTGTTCCGCTGTGTCGGATCTTTCTGTCTTCGGAGGTATTCGTCGGCGGTTTTGGGGTCTCGGGATGCTCTTCAGACGCTGCGCCTCGCCATGGGCGCTCCTGCGGTGCCCAGATCGTTCCGAACGGCCGCCTGAGAGTCGAGTTATGACCCGAACTCCAGGCAGCAGTGTTTCTGTGCAGATTCCTGCAAGTTTGCTTGCATGGGGCGGCCACGCTTCTGCACGCCTTTTCAGACCAGCTCTGTCTGAAAGCGGCGGAGGGGGGGGGAATGCCGTTTAAGTAACCTTGCCATAATCCGAGTAAAAAGATGTTCTGTCGCGCGCGCGGGGCCGCGCACATCAAGGGTAAGGAGATCCTGGGGAGATCGGGCAGGATCAAGAGGAGGAGGAGGAGGAGGAGGAAGAGGAGGAGGAGGAGGAGGAGGAAGGAGGGCGGAGGAGGAGGAATATTAATAATCATAATAAGAATAATACTAATAATAATAATACTAGTATTAATACGAACAACAAATAAGAAGACGAATACTACTATGAGTACTAACAATAATAATACTAATAAGACGAAAAATACCATGCATAAGCATAATAAGAGTACTAAACACAATAAGTAGACGAATGATACACATAAGCACAATCACAATACTAATGATAACACTGATACGAATCATAATCAGGATACCACGAACAATAGTAGTATCAATAATACTACAAACACGAATAATACTTCGACGATTAAGAATACTATTTAATACTAAGAAGAAGCATAAGCATAATCATCAGCATACTAATAAACATACTAAGCGTACTAATAGGAATACGTAGACGCATAATCATAATCTTACCGGAGGCGCGAATCATAATTCGAATGATGGCAAGACTAATACTGATACTGATAAGAAGAATGATACTCATAGATGAATAGGAAAATCATCTGAAGAAGACGAGGAGGAGGTGGAGAAGGACGAGGAGGAGGAGGAGGACCAGTGCAACCCCAAGAGTCATCAGCGATGTTGGAATTCACCCTCCCTCCAAGCTCCCTCTTCATTGGCTCCTACAACGGTTCATTTCATTTAGGGAACTGCTTCGTTGGAAGACAACCGTTTGAAGAGCCTGAAGCATGTCAAAACATTGTTCTCGGGATTTCAACACCAAGGATCAATTTGATTGTTGCGCCTTGACGATCTGGAATCGTGCCAGAACGGCATTTTTGGTACTTCAACACCGCGAACCAACATAATTGTTGCACACGCATAATTCTGAATCCTTCCAAAACACAATTTCTGGTACTCTGATCATGGGAATCCGTGAAACTCTTGCAAATGATTAAAACGAGTGTGCGCGGCGCTAAGGCGAGAGCCACATTTTGAGAACCGGCCGCCATCAATCTGTGAAGTTCTTGCAAATGTTTGAACCGAATGCGCGCGGCGCTAAGGCGGGATACATTTTGAAAACCACCCGGCATCCATCTGTGAAACTGTTGCCATGTTTGTAAGCGTCCGAGTCATACATGGTGAGGAAGTCTTAAGCAAAACGCCCTGCCCGCCCTCAAAACTTGCCTCGGGGTGCGACAGGGAGAAGTTGTTGTAGGAGGAAGTTTTTTTTATCATGACAAGGAATGGAGGAGGAGGAAGAGGAGGAGGAGGAGGAGGAGGAGGAGGAGGAGGGAAGAGTTCCGAGGAAGAACAAGAGGAGGAGGAGCAGGTGGAGGAGGAGGACGAGGAGCAGGAGGAGCAGGAGTAGAAGGAGCAGCAGGAGGAGGAAAAGGGGGGAAGAGATTCGAGGAGGATCGGGGAGGATCCTGGAGCGTCCAGGCGGAGCAGACGGGTGGAAGCGTTTCGAGGAGGATCCAGAAGGAGAGAGAGGAGGAGGAGGACCCACTACCCAGGAGGATGCAGGAGGGGGATGGTGCAGAAGGAGGATCCAGGAGGAGGACGACCCATGAGGAGGAGGAGGAGGAGGAGGAGCAGCAGCCTGTGGAGCTGCAGCGTCCTCCTGCGGGGGACCTCCGGAGACCCCGGCGGACCCAGGGCGCCCGTCTCGCGGGCCGCTGGTGATCGCTGCAGACAAGTCGATCACCCGCACACCCTGGCCCGGCCTCCGGACAGTCAGGCAGAACGAGAAGTATTGCCTTGTCTCATTCTTCACAGCACCAGCCCAGGCCACGGGCGCCGAGGATTCCAAGGGCGGGGGAGGAGTGGGATCCTCGAGGAGTTCGACAAGGGGAGCTGGAGGAGGAGGAGGAGGAAGAGGAGGAGGAGTTTCGATATCTGTTGTCGCTCAAGCTATGTATGTCCTACAGTACGACTGCGCCCGTAAGTCGTCCAGCTGGAGACGTTCAGATGATTGCTTTCTATGTCAGATCGGTGGCGGCCCTGTCTGTGAAGCGCGCGGAGTCTGCTGGGGTTATCGCTGCTGGCCAGTGTTCGCGCGCCTCCGCTCTGGCTCCACCAGAAATTTCGATTGAAAAAGGATGGATTGGGGGAGCTGGGGAGGAAGTGGCAGAGAGTGGGGAGGCAGGGAGAGTGGAAGCGCAGGAGAATGGAAGAGGTGGGTGGGAGGGTGAGAGGGAGGGGGGTCGATGGTGGGCTGGAGGGGGGGACGATGGGGAGGAGGTGGAGGAGCGGAGGAGAAGGTGAGGGGAGGAAGAATGGGGGAGAGGCAGGAAAAGGGAAGAGGATACAGAAGAACAATCAGGAAGCATGGCCAGCAGAGCACCCTGCTAGCGAAAATCAGGATGAGTGGCGAGCCATCCCCTGGGCGCGTCCCTTCACAGTCCCCCTGGCACATCCCCTGCCACGACACCTTTCCTTTCTCATCCTCTCCCCTCCTCTCTCCTCCTTCCTCCTCTTCCTCCTATAGGTCCTCCTCTCTCTCTCTCTCTCTCCATCCCTCATCGTTGCTCAGATCAGAGCTCCTCACTACTGGCATATGAGCTGCGATAAGCCCCTTCGTCCCTCTGCCCCCGTAATTTCCCAATCCTGTATTGCTCGGCGCAGGCTGCACCGGACCCTGAGCCCAAAGGAGGCGCCCTGCTGGGCGGAACGCCGCCGCTCGTTCGTTCGCTCGCCCTCCTCGATCGGCACAGAGACTGCTGCAGTACAGCTGGCATGCGTGTGAAGAACAACCCTATAGCTTAGGAGGGGTACCCTGCCGTTTTTCGTGTCTGTAGGAGGAGGAGGAGGAGGAGGAGGAGGAGGAGGAGGAGGAGGAGGAGGGGGGAGGAGGAGGAGGAGGAGGAGGAGGAGGAGGGGGAGGAGGAGGAGGAGGAGGAGGAGGAGGAATAGGAGGAGGAGGAGGAGGAAGATAAGATAAGATAAGATAAGAGACGTTTGCGACCCCTGTCTCTCTGCCCTTGCACTACCTGCACAATAGTGAAGCGCACCTGACAAGACTGCTCGGATCTGCGTGAGGCCGGCATGTGAGGTCTCCTGTCGACCGCCCTGCCGAGCGGATTGCCTCTGGCCCAATCTTCGGACCTCATGTGGGATCGCCTGGAGGCCGAGGCTGGGCACCATCACACTGCACACAGAGGCATCACACGAGAGACGAGTGATCTCGCATAAAAGGTGCATCACATCAAGCTTACAATCTGGTTCAATACCTGGGTTCAGAGACATCTTCTGGTGGCTGAGTGAGAGGCCCAACTCTGATATCCTCATCCTTACTCCCTCTATGCACGACAGGAAAACATTCGGCGCGAGTAAACAATGCGCGCGATTAGAGACAGCAACAACTGAGGTATGCACATCATGCAAAGATAGACTGCGCACGTGTGTAGAGCGAGAGGCCAAGTCGAGGAGGGAGAGCTCAAGCCTCAAGGGGGGAGAGTAGAAAACATTGAATATCTGCCCTGTGGCAGTGACATAACACAAGATGGGCTGTTCTGGTCTCTGCTACAGCGACTGAAGACCCTCATGCCTCAAAAGGTGATCACTGGCCATTTGTCGCATGCGTTCGGATCCTGCTATAGAAACCAACGTAGCTACTTGTCCTCCTCCTCTTCGTCGGATTCCCCCATTACTTCGTCGTCGTTCTTCATCATGCCGATTTTGCTGAGAAGCCGCTCTGCCTCCCTCTCGAGGCCTCCCTTGGGTGGTCCCCCTGCTCGAAACTTGCCTCTCGTGGCCTGGAGACTGTCGCACACTGCCTGATGCACCGTGCCCACTGGCTGGCCATCCCATGTGATCAATGCCGTCTGCAGCTGCGCGGACAGCATGATCTGAACCTTGAGGGCCGTGAGGCGAGCCAGCTACATGTGCGTCCACGGTGGGCCCAGGTCGTGGTCCTTGTCAATCTCCTTGCACTTCGTCGCATACTGCTGGCCCGCGGCTTGCATCTCGGTGACCACTGTGGAGTCTGCGGGGATGAGAAAACAGCTGAAGCAGGCGCCAATGAGGTCTGCAACGTCGCGGCTGTTGGAGATGGCCAAGCGCGTCAGCACCACCACCAGTGCCTTGAGCGGTCCGAGGTTCTTCGTGTTCATGTCCTGCTAGGTCTGCTGCTTGAGGCCGGCCGTCTTGAGCTTCTTGTCTCCTCCCATGTCCGTTGTGATCGATCCTCGAGCGGCCGCTGTACGCTTGATACCCCATGATGGCATCTGCGCCTGCCAGTGCGGTGCTGCTGCTGCTGCTGCACTGGCTGCTGCGCCTGCGGGTGCTGTGGGTGCTGGCGCCTGCGAGTCGGCTGCCGTGGCTGCAGCCGTCGTCATTCTGGTCGTGAAAATGTCGATGGAGTTCGGCTCGTTCGAGCCCAGATTGGCTACACAGTCGACAGACATGACTCTGTGAATTATCACTGTCGGCCTTGCGGAATGTATATATATATATACATATATATGTATTTATCTATATATACATATGTCTTCCCCCGTACACGCACACACACCAGTTCTGAACGAATCCACCACATGCGTGTAAGCCGAAATCTTGGATTCAAATACTTGTTCACATACGAAGCATTGGTTTGAAATAGTACACATGACCAGTGTGCTGATGAGGCCATGATGCTGATCTAGATGACTGATAAGTTGCCGTTGCGTTGCAAATATTTTGCCACATTCACGAGTCCAGCAATGAACTTCATCATCATCATCATCATCATCATCATCATCATCATCGTCATCATCATCATCATCATCAGGTTGCTCTGGTTCATGCCTGTAATGCTGTTCATGCTGGGATGAAGCCTGGTATCCAGGGGGGGGAACAGTCACTGTCCAGGAAACAACTCGAAGGTGCGCTAGATCAAGTCTGCCGAACCAGTCAGACAAGTCCGAGTCATCGAACAGTTGGAGCGGTCGACGTCCCATTTCTCGATCATTTCAGAGTGTTCCCCCCCAACTGACTAAGGCTGGCCACGTCGTCAACAAACCGATGGGCCCACGGGGACGCCTGAGGAGTAAGATGCCCATGTTCATCTATATCACGCACTCCGTTTTCCCTCTCAATACGAACAGCAAAGAAGAGAGCACCCCTGTCTGCAGCGTGAAAGTGGGGTTCCTTGGTCCACTGCTGGTACCACTTCAGTCTACGCACTCAAAGTTCCGTCTCCAACGGGGCCACTCATCAATTGCAGAATTCGGTTGGCTGGAATAGAGCGTGGGTGGCCGTGGTGCAATTCTGTAGCAGCGCCTCGGGGAGCTCGACGGTCAAACGAGACTACAGCATTCTGCAGCCTGAAAATTTGTACTGGGGTGGCAAGAAACGCCTCCAATGCTGATACTGCAGGGCCAATCACTTTGCTCAAAAGCATTGCTCGCTTTTCCACGAATGAGATTCGGGCTTGATACCAGTATCGTCTCATGAACCAGTCTCCCGATGATATAGCTGAAAGTCGTGCGTCGATTTTGCTCTTTGCCTTGTTATCAGATCGGACCAACGACCCAAGGTACTTAGCTACATCATTGGGGGAGCTCCATCAAGAGGGATAAGACGTTGTTGGATGGTCTGTTTGCGAGCCTGCTTGCCTACTCCTTGAAACGGCACAATACTTTCGTTCTTGGCGGGGTTGAGGCGGTATGTGCGCTTGGCGAGACAGTTGTAGAGGATCTGATCGTAGAGTAGAGACTGTCGGCTTAAAGGCGAAGCTGCGTTCTCGCCTGGCACAGCAACAAGCTCACGTAGAGCATCATCCACGTAGCTGTGAAACGCGAGATCGATTTCAATGGGATCATGTCAGTCCGGTTGGAGGTCTATTACACACCAGTCTGCTGTCGGCTCCCCTGTGGCCGAGAACTCTGCTTACGCTTCCTCGGAACAACCCCCGACGTCCCTGATGAAAATCTTGACGGCCCAGGGATCACCTTGCAGAGCTCCAACCCATGGTTTCGCAAATCGGCATCCGTCCACACCTCGGAAGCACACAGCGGAAAACTTGAACCTCTGTTCTCAAAACCATGCTCCCCCGCCCTCATGATCTCCTGGTTGGCTCGCTGCAGTGCTTCCCAGTTTGACGACCAAAAGGCATTTGTGATACTCTTGTGGTCATTCACAAACTCCAATTCAAGCTGGCGTAGCCGCCAGCCGAGCGACTGCTGAGCGAGCAACGGGGTTTCCCGCCTTCGGCGGGCCACGCACCCGTGGGATGAGAGTGGTTCTTCATCCTTCTGCATTGGGCCGATACATGTCGCAACAAAAGCCATGCCAAAAGGACAGAGTACGTGTACCACGCGTGTCCAAGTCAAAGTTGCAGCGTGCAAAAGATGCCATACTAGTGGGGTCTGCCTGACCCTGCGGACCGTGTGCATGAGGGAAACCAAAAAACCTCGTGCCTGCTGGAGGTCTATGTCGGGGGCTTGATATCCTACTCCTCGAAATCGTTCGGAGGGTCGCTGGTATGGAAAAACACGTCCAGAATAACTCCATGGGCACAGACCACTCAGGAACAGCTTTCATCCTTTCTGCCTTACGTCGATATTGCCGAATCTGGTTCAGTTTAGCTCGCGCCCAAGACGCACCCTCCTCCGTGTATTCGCCTAATACGTAGTGTGCTTCTACGCCGTGTTCTGGATGATATATTTTGTCATTTGCATGCTAGGTCCAGTCCACCACCTCTGCCTCCATCCCTCCCTGTGATGCTGAGCGGCCACCCATCCGGCAACTCTTTGCTGGTGGGGAGGGCCTCTGGAGGTCGATAATGGCGCTTCTTGGGCCCCGTCCCCCTGGCAGAGAGCAGCCGAGATAATCCGTAAGGGCTTCGCCCCCTGCCGCCGGCCCCCTCTCTCGGAGAATGGGCCATGGAAGAGCTAAGTCATGAGGCCTTGGCGCTGTCGTGAAGCAGTATCGAAACTTCATGCGAAGCCGATTCGCAATCAGCAAAACCAACTGATCACAAGAGGGGTTACCACACCTGGCGATTGGTAAGACGTGTATGGTTTACGGGCTTGGTTACCACACCTTGCGATTCAAGGGCCGAGGGAGTTCTCGCAGTTTGGGTTACCACGCCTTGCGATGGATGTGCGTGAAGGGTGGCACCGAATTTCAGAAATGTGCCAAATCCCTTATGTTTCTGGACCAGAAATGTGGCAAATCCCCTGTGTTTTTGGACCCTGACCCCGCGGATCTGCGTGAGGGGTGGCACCGAATTTCAGAAATGTGGCAAATCCCCTGTGTTTTTGGACCCTGACCCCGCGGATCTGCGTGAGGGGTGGCACCGAATTTCAGAAATGTGGCAAATCCCATGTGTTTTTGGACCCTGACCCCGCGGATCTGCGTGAGGGGTGGCACCGAATTTCAGAAATGTGGCAAATCCCCTGTGTTTTTGGACCCTGACCCCGCGGATCTGCGTGAGGGGTGGTACCGAATTTCAGAAATGTGGCAAATCCCCTGTGTTTTTGGACCCTGACCCCGCGGATCTGCGTGAGGGGTGGCACCGAATTTCAGAAATGTGGCAAATCCCATGTGTTTTTGGACCCTGACCCCGCGGATCTGCGTGAGGGGTGTCGATTTCGAGCCCCCCCAGCAATTCAGACAACGCGCCCAGGAGACGCTAAAAATCTTGTTTGGGCCTCCCCCCCCTCGCGCGGTCAATCAACTAGTTACGGTAACCAGCAAGAAGCAGAACTGTAACACTGGAAACTACAAGCTACAACTGGTACAGGAAACTGCGAACCCGCGCCTACAGCCTGGTGGCCCCACAAGGGGGCCGGCGGATCTGGCCACCTCGGTCTGCCCACCTGCCTTCAAATTCTCGTGGATCTCATCTGTGATGTCTGCCCGCCGTTGCCTGAGATACTGTCGACGCTGCGACCGAAGCCGACGTGATAAGCAACGAATCTCTTCCGATACGGAAGAAGTTTCGATGGCCGTGCTGGTCGACTGACGTGACATACGTAGCTGCCGTCGCCGATGGATGAGAAACATGTTGAGTCTGGCAGCTTCAGAATACTCACGCGAAGGTTTGGCATGTCCTGTGAAATAGTTCTCGGCCACCTGACGGATGGTGTCGATAAAGACTCCCCATTCTGCATTGGGTGTCTGCTCCTCCTGTCGACATTTCTGCCAAACTGCTTTGTGCCTAATCATTTCTTGCTCAAGGTCGTTCAACAACTCAGCTCGATTAGTGCCCATTCGGAGACAGTCCATCAATAACTCTCGATTCCATTTCAACTGTCGTGGCACAAATCCTATTCGGATGTCTGGCTCATGTACTTCACAGTCTGTAGTGGCCGTAGTGGCCGCTAGTGAATATGCTACACGAACGTGTACAGGGAGGTGGCCACGATGCTCTTGATGCCTAATAAGCTGGAAGTTCCTAGCCATGGATCTGAGGGGGCCTGCAGAGGTGACCTGCTTGAGTGCACATTTAGGGACGAAGACGTAGTCCAGCTTAGACTTTGATCCCGTGGTACCATAGTAGGTAGGTCCTTTGCCTATGTGCAGATTCACAGGGACGAGGTCCAGGTCCTGGAACATGTGTAGCATAACATCTGCAGCATAGCGTTGTTTGACGGGAGCCTCCAGATTCCCAAGTCGCTCATCATGAACATGCATCCATGTTTCACTGCCAGATATCTTCACTGCCATGCATCATAGCTATGATGGGGAAGCATCTGGAAACTGCCAGAAAAGGGAGTCCTCGGATCCACTGCGCAATACTATCACACACCTTCATATATATAGTGTACTGATTAGCTTTGACAGGCGGAGGTGGAAAAGAAACAGCTGCAACTCCAAAAGCATACTGACTACATCTTGCACGTATGGCAACTCCTCGCCCTGCGATGTACCCTGGTGTCGTCCACGTATGCGTAACTGTGTTACGGCGGATACGGGGGCCAAGCACAATACTACATCCTGCACTTCTGTTGCTGCCTGGTGCCCTCGTCCATGCTGCTTCGATCATCCACCTGCGTCCCGCCTTCCTCCAGGCAGCTCCGTCCGTGCCAAACTTACGTGTTCCTGTCCCTGTCAAGCACACAAACTCAAACTTAGCGGTGAGGGTGGCGATGTCCATCAACCTGTCATACGAACTGGCAGACAAAGGATCATACTGAAGAGTCGATACACCATTGATGAAAAGGAAGCTGCTGATGGCCAGCAGCGATCGTCTGAGTTGCCTGATCACACAAATCGAGAGAAACGCCATGAGAGGCGCATTGGAGGAGGAGGAGGAGGAGGAGGAGGAGGGAGGAGGAGGAGGAGAGGAGGAGGGGGAGGAGGAGGAGGAGGAGGAGGAGGAGGAGGAGGAGGAGGGAGGAGGAGGAGGTGTTTCATCCACGTCCCCGTGGCCATGTTTCGACTGTGCCGCGCCCCCCGAGACCCCTCCGAGCGCCCCAGGCCGGCAGGCGCCCCGAGACGCAGCCGTGCATCAAGTCGCTCCGGGGCCTGCAGCGGGACCTGGGCAGGTCGACCCAGGACGTGGAGAACGCTTCCAGGTCGAAGGTCCGACGGCGTAATCTCTGTGATGCCTCACGCGGGCCCCCTGATCTCTCGGTTCCTTTCCTGTGGCCAGCGTCTCGCCCCAGAACGTGCTTTCTTGATGGCCAGAGCCGGACCCCAAGAACCCGAGAAAAGGCGCGCTCACAGCATGGAGCCCGGGCCCCCCGCATTGTCCCCGTCGCGTTCCCCTCCCAGTCCCATTGGCCAGGGTGGAGTTCTTCCCCCTCTGAAGGGGAACGCGGCCCGAGCCAGGCCCAGCTCTCTTCCCCCGCTCCCTCTCGGAGGGAGGGACGGTGGAGGGGAGGAGTGACGGTGCTCGAGGGACGAGGGACGAGCCAGGTCTGAAGAGGCCATTCCGCTTGGTGACGCCTTGTCGTAGCAGCACGGTGTCCCCTCCCCTCCAAGTCTCACCACACGTTTTGTCTGCGACCCTGGTCAGTGTTGCTCTGGGAGTGACAGCCCTGTGCTGCGCAGGGTCGATCGAGGACGGAGGACGGAGAAGGGGATCGAGAAGGGGCGAAGGAGGAAGAGTAAACATACCCCAGAGAAAAACCCAAATCAGTGGATGGTTTTCGCTGATGAGATCGACCGGGAACCCGGGCGCACAGGAACCCAGAACCCACCGAAATCGGCCCAGAACCAATACCCGGGAAACCGGGAACCTGTAATTGGGAACTCGGGAACCCGGGAACCCAGCCTGCTGCCGAAATCGGCGGGAAACCTTCGCCAAATCTTTCAACATCCGCTAGGACCCCTTCAGTGTAAGCTCTGATTGGGGAATGTGGGCGCTAGAATTGTGGGCGCTACGGCGCTTCCACAGAAACCTGGACGAACCAGGAGGAGGATGAAGATAGTTTTTTCCCCAACCCTCCGTTGGTGGAGAGAGAGGGGGAGCAGGCTTAAGAGGAGGAGGAGGAGGAGGAGCAGGAGCATCGAGGAGGAGGATCGAGGAGGAGGGTCGAGGAGGGGCGACGGAGGATGAGCAAACATACCCCAGATCCCCAGAGCGGTTCGAAAACTGTGCACCCCCCCTCCTCTCGAGCTGTGACCCTCGCCGGCCCCTGGGGCCTATAGGGGCGAAGGAGGAGGAGCAAACACACCCCAGATCCCCAAAGCGGTGCTTCTTGAAAAGCGTGCCCCCCCCCCCCCCCCAGGGCACTCGGCCCCTTTGGCCCCGGGGACCGGCTCTTCCTCTCGAGCTGTGCATTGACGCCCCCTGGGGCCCAGGGAACGTCCCCAGAGCCAGGACTGATAATTGCGCAGGGCTTAACCTAAACGGTGTTTTTCGTTTTCGTTTTGTTTTCGTTGTCCCTCGCTTTTGTCTCGAATGCGCCTTCACCGCAAGACGAAGTCGAAAAGAAAACGGCCCACGAAATCACCAAAAACACCGTTTAGTTCCAGCCCTGGAATTACAAGAGGTGCCTGCGCCGACTTGTCCAGAAGAAGCCCAACGTGGAGCGAGCTTGAGCATAAGCTTGGTATACTCCAGTGGTGCCTGCTGAGTAGCCCCGTTCTGTCTCCGGGCTGTGTTCTACTCCATGCGTTCGAGTGTCCCCGGCCCCATCCCGTTCGGTCTCCTCGTGTGTTTGGAATCCCGAAACGGTGCGGTGACAGACCGTGCGGTCACCTCGAAAGCCCCCAAGACCTCACCGCACGGTCCGTCAACGTACGGTTTTGGGACCTCGGATGCCCCAGTCGCCCGAGACTTCCTCGGAGAACGGCCCGAGTCCCAAAACCGTGCGGTGACCCCGAATCCCCACCGACTCACCACACGGTGTGGTCACCACCCCGTTTGTGAGCTCTCCAGTGTGGGCACTCGTGCGGGCACTCACCATCGCCGTCGTGCTCCCCGCCCCCCCCCCAGAGTGCCGCAAGGGCCAGACAGACCGCGGCACGGTGTTCAGCGTCGGGGTGCTCGGCGCCGTGGCGGTCGCCCGCAAGCTGTCCGTGAACTCGGGGGGCTCGCGCGAGTGAGCGGCGGCCTGCCCGCCCGCTTTGCTCGTCTCTACTGTAGGCGTAAGTCGGGCATGTCCCTCTACAGGGGGACTAAAAACATAGCCTGGGGATGCCTTTTCCTTACTTGTCGACTATGGTTGAATCTTACTCGGCTATCTTTCATTTGTCTTCCAAAATCCGCCTGTAGGAGAACATGTCCGACCTCAGATTTGGCCTCCCATATGGAGTCCGAACAGGTGGGGTCGGAGGATGGCGCCACATCGCCGCTGCATCGGCGGTTCCACTCGATGTGAAGGCCGACGTCGCCGATGCACCGCCGACGCCGCCGATGCATCGGCGATGCATCGGCGATGCATCGGCGATGCGGCGCGATCCTCTGGCCCCATCCGCTCGGACACTATCCGGGAGGCCTCTAGGGGTGTCCGTGAACTCGGGGGGCTCGCGCGAGTGAATGGCGGCCTGTCTGGCGCTGCGTTCGACGGCACGCAGAAGTGGGGCCTTGCGCAAGGAGGAGGTCCGTTCCCAGACTTGCTCGAGTCGTGGCCAAAATCACGAGGAGGGGTGTTCGGCAGTTTTTTGCCCCTGGTGGCCCTCACTGGGCCGCGGGACCCTCAGCATAGCTTCCTCACGATGGAGACTCGGTCCTGGGGCAAGGGTCGGGACTTCAAGAGCTCGCAGCTTGCAGTAAGCAAGCCGCCGCACGGCTGGACTCGAGGGCCGCTTCGCCGCACGCGGCGACCAGGGGCCGCGTGCGGGCCCCCCGGGGCCGTCTCGGACGTCGGTCCTGGATGGCTGGGCCCCGTGGACGGCTCCAGGGCACCGAGTTTGACCGGGGCCGGGTGGAGATCGAAGAAGAACATTCGCCATACACATAGACGTTTGGCGGACTTCTTGGATCCGCGCTGGGACCCCCCTGGCGGCGCCTCTGGCGCCGCCCCTGGCGCGCTGCGCGCGCCAGGGTCCAGCGCGGATCCGTGTTGTGTTTATGGCGTTTCGGATGAGGGGAGGGCGCCTTCGGATGAGGAGGCATCTCACCCCGCCTCCTGCCTTCCACGAGGCCTTGTCTGGGGCCGCAAGACCAGGGCAGGTCCGTCTGCTGCCCTCTCGGGATGCCATCCCCCTCGCCCTGTCCCCCCCCCCTCCATGGTGCGCAGCCAGAGGCTGCTCGCCGAAGGCAGGCAGAAGTGCTGCTGGGCCAGGAGTCTGCTCTCTCTCTCTCTCTCTTACTTTCTGTCTCCCCCTCTCTCTACAGTCAACCCGCACAGCACTCTTGGGTTCCTTAATAAGCGTGAGGGGTACCCCCCCAGCGGGGGTCAACCTCGCCTCGTCGTCGCGCCGCGACGGGGGTCGGAGCGCCTTCGGCGCGCGGTGGCTGCCCGCGACGGGGGTCAATGGGGGTCAAGGGTACCCTTGCATTCTTGTCCCTTCGGCCCACCTCGTTCGAGAAACCTTGACATGGGCCTCCAGGGCCCCTGCGTCCTTACCGCGCATCCCTTCTGATACGGATTGATCCTGCTCCTCCCCGTCCTTCCCCCGAGGCACGTCGGCGTCGCGGGGGAAGCCGAGCTCGCCGGCGTCGGGCCCCTCGAGGCCATCAAGCAGCGGGCTTCGTCGGAGAGCTGGCCCCAGGGAGCGGTCCACGTCGAAGAGGTTCCTGTTCATTTTGAACAGGACTCGCTGTCTTTCATTGAAGACAGAGCCGCTTGCCCAACAGCGGCAGCTGTCGGTTTTGGACACTCGGACAACATTTGTTGGGCATTGTACCTATTTTTCCGTACCGATTCCGGGCGTCCAAAGGCCCCAGGGGATGGGGCCGGGCGCTCCTTTGCCCGCGTGCCCGCGTCGTGACAAAAAGAAGCAAGATTGCAGCCTTGCGGCACTGCCCGCAGCGGCAGAGAGCCTAAACAGCTCTAAGCATGGGCCAGAGAGAGAGGGGCGTAGACCTGGAGTGACGACAGTACGCCCAAGACAACGGGAGACAAAGGCGATAATGGCGCGCCGCCGATCCCAGATCACGGTCACCCCGTGCGCGCTCTCTCTGAGAACATCTGCGTATAGGACCCGGAACCCTGACAGACAGGCTGTTTAGGGACAAACGCGATGTCGGAGGTGCGCGAGCCTGAGCGCCCGAGCCCCGAGGGCGCATCCGCGTGCGGGGCCCAGGCCTGCAGGCCTGCCCTCGGGCCCTGAGGGGCTCACCAGCACGTCGGCTCCCTGGGCGGTGGATGATGGGCAAACCACTCCCTGCCTCACGTCGGGCCCCGGCGGGCTCCTCCCCCTCCTCCTCCTCCTCCTCCTCCTCCTCCTCCTCCTCCTCCTCCTCCTTCTCCTTCTCCTCCTCCTCCTCCTCCTCCTCCTCCTCCTCCTCCTCCTCCTCCTCCTCCTCCTCCTCCTCCTCCCCCTCCTCCTCATCCCCCTCCTCCCTCCTCCTGCTCCCTCCTCCTGCTCCCTCCTCCTCCCCCTCCTCCTCCTCCTCCTCCTCCTCCTCCTCCTCCTCCCCGACCACTCTGCGGGGCCCCGCGGGCTCCACCTCCCTGGCGGCGTCGGCGACTCCCTCAACTGGGGCGGCCGCCGTGTGCGGGGGGGCCGCAGCCCGCGCCGCTGGGCCAAGCAGCTGCGCGGCAGGTTCGCGCCGTGTCGACGCGGCGGCGACCCCAGCACGGGCGTTCGAAGTCGATCGCCAGCTGTGGCCAGGACTCGCCCGACGCCGACCGGTCCGTGCCGCCGGAGTGCCGCCCGCGATGCCGCGCGGTGCCGCAGAGGCCAGCGCCGGCGTCGTCACGACGTCAGCTTGCCGAGCGCACCCAAGGAGGCTAGGGACACTGAGTGCCCCACGAGCCCTTGCGGGCTATCTTCGAGAGGGTCTCCATGAATCAGTCCGGGGGGGGCGTCTCGGGGTCGTCTTCGGCGGGGAAGGCCCTGGGGCACGCGGCCAGGCGCACCCTCCGAGGGCGAGGATTTCCAGCCGCGTGATGCCCCAGGGGGGAGCCTGTACGCTGCAGGGTGCTGTGCTCAGCGGGGCGTTCCGCACGTTTCGACTGCAAGCAGCTCTGAACCACCCTGCGTTCAGGCAGCGCGAGCTCAAGATCCAGATCAGTTCGTTTAGCATTCCGACGCCAAGGGCGACTCGACCCACAGCGCAATGAGGTACAGCACAGTTCAACACAGCATGAGCTAGCACAGTTCAGCGCAGCGCCGCACAGCACAGCCCCCTGGCACAGCATCATCACAGTCGACGTTTCAGCACTGCCACCGCCCATGGCCAATTGAGGTGTTTTGCCAGATTCTTGACCCCAGGCTTCCCGCACCGTCTTTCTCTCTGTTTTTACCTTCTTGCTTCCTAGGTGGGCGCGCATATCCGCGCCCCGATTCGTCAAGCAGTGGCGAAGCGTCCTGGCTCGCCTATAGGCCCACCAAAGAACGTTCTGAGAACCTTTTGTGGTCTGCTCGAAATGTTGTTTGACCATTTCTGGCTAAACTGTCTTGCTTCAACACATCGAGATTCTGTTCTAAGAATACTGCTTTTGTATTCGAACATGTTTGGGTTCTAAGAAAATTTCGTGGTTGGCATATAGGGATGCCGGGACGGTCGGTCCCTGCTCAAGTTTCGGCCGCCGCACACCTCGCGGCCGCCCCGGTGCTGCCACCAAGTGCCGCACGCATGAAGGCGTCGTGGCACGACCGCGCAGACAGGCTTTCCTCACTGCGTGATATCCGACCCCGAACTTGGAGCCGTCTGCCAGGCGATCGCAAACATGGATCAAGTGGGCGTGGATCAGCGACGGGTCCCGCTTCCGTGGGAAATCGCAGATTTCCGCCGCCGAACGAGGCGGCACCAGCCGCATTTTGGGGAGGGCACCTCCCCCGATCCATGGATTTGGCGACTGCGCGCCAGATCCAGGAATCGCTAACCCATGCTTGCGCGCCCCCGACTCTGGGGGTCTGATGTGCCCCAGCACCGGTTCCGTCCGGCAGGAAGCGCGGGCAGGCTCGAGGCTCTGGGTTCGGGGGTTGTTGTCTGTCTCTGTTGTTGCCTCTGGGGGCCGTTCTCCTGCCCAGCGATCCTGGGTGGAAACAGGCACCAGATGGACCCCATGGAGGGGTCCGGGGACCGATGCTGAGTGGATGTGGCTTCATCTCCCCGCCTGACCGACTTCCCCGGGTCCTACCCGGTTCCGACCCGGGGCCGCCTCCAATCGAACCAAGCCTCCAGGTCGGATTGGGAGGTCGCTGCGACGCGCGCGGCGGCCACAAATCTGGGCAGGGTTTTTGTTAATGAGCCTGCACCGCCCCCCCACTGTACGATGTAGACGTGGCTCCCGATTAATCATATAGCGACACAGAGTTGCGAATGTATGTCCAACATGGGCAGTCGTCCAACATGGGCAGTCATGTCGTGCCCCAATCAGAGCTTACCTCTGTAGGGGCCCTAGCGGATTCATGTGGTTAGGTGAGGTGCGTCGCCGATTTCGGTGCCTGGATGTGCCAGGGGGTGCCCGGGTGCCCAGGTGCCCAGTTGTTCTATGGCCCCATAGCCCAATAGCCCATATACCCCTTACGCCCTAAAGCCCTACAGCCGTATAGCCCTCTAGCCCTCTAGCCATATTGCCCTAGAGCAATACAGCCCTATAGCCCTATAGCCATACAGCCCTGTAGCCCCATAGCCCTATAGCCCTATAGCGCTATAGCCCTACAACCATATAGCCTTATAGTCCTCTACCCCTAGCCCTATAGCTTATAGCCTATAGTCGATAGCCCTCATGGCCTTCATAGCCCTCGCAGACTTCATTAACCTAAGAAGCAAACAAAAAACTCGGATTAGGTTTTTCTCTGGTATCATTATATTGTTTGTGTTTGACTTCGGGGTCGATTATCACCCAACCACTTCCGTCACGAGGAAAGCGAGCTGGCACAAACACCACCAGCGGGCCCCCCCGGCGAGAAGGTCAACGACGGTTCCACGAGCTGGATACTTGAGGTCTCCGAGCGGGGCGCCGCAAGACAGGGGGATCATACCACCAAGTGGACCCTCCCGGGTTCCCCACGACGGAGGTGGTGGTGGTGCCTGTCGCTTTTGCTCCTGTCCGTGCAGGCCTCGCGTCGGATTTCTCCGCGGAGGCGCCTATCTGGTGGGCTGGCCTCGTGATTGTCGAGAGAAACAGCACTGGCAGCGCGCGGGAGGGGGAGGGAGGAGGAGGAGGAGGAGGAGGAGAGGAGGAGGAGGAGGAGGAGGAGGGAGAGGAGGAGGAGAGGAGGAGGAGAGGGGGAGGAGGAGGGGAGGAGGAGGAGAGGAGGAGGAGGAGGAGGAGGAGGAGGAGGGGGAGGAGGAGAGAGGAGGGAGGAGGAGGAGGAGGAGGAGAGGAGGAGGAGGAGGAGGAGGAGGAAGAGGGGGAGGAGGAGGAGGAGAGGAGGAGGAGGAGGAGGAGGAGGAGGAGGAGGAGGGCGGGAGGGGGAGGAGAGGAGGGGAGGAGGAGGAGGGGGAGGAGGAGGAGGAGGAGGAGGAGGAGGAGGAGGAGGAGGAGGAGGAGGAGGAGAGCCACCTCGCTTCCCAGAAGCCTTCCTGCCCTGGAAGGTATAGAGGGCAGTCTTGGCGCGTCTGTGGCCGTCTCGGGGCCCTCGTGGGCGCCCTATAGGGCAGCCCTCCAGAAAAGTCGTTATTCTTCCCGTTGTTGACCAGGGTCACCGTCCCGGAGTTCAAAAATGTACGACGCGTTTACCTCTCAGGATGGCACGAGCCTTGGGGCACTCCGTTTCGTGCTGTAGGCACGGTGGCGGGTTTATTTATATATGCTTGCATGTTTTATTATTAGTCTAGGGGTGGTAGACTCAAGATGAAGCTAAAGCGACACATGACACAGACCCGCGTGCTGTGCAAACCGTCAGCGGATCGATTGGCCCCGTAGTTCTGAACCGGTGGGTTCTGAACGGGCAGGCGGGCGAGATGATGGGAATGGTTTGCCTGCTGCGCCAATCTGCGGTGCTCGCGGACTTCCTCGCGGAGTTCATCGGCTCACGCGGGGGAAGCGGCGCAGTGCCCCATGATCCAATCTCGGCATTATGGCCGCCGACTGTCGGAGACATGCAAGATCAAACTAATTCGGTCCCGGAAGTCTTTTCCGCATGCCGGGCAGACCGAGGAGGGGAGGCGGTTGTGTATCTCAAGAGTGGCACCGTATTTGGCTTTCTGATGACTGGCCAGAGCACGTTCGGAGCTAAATGCCAAATGCCGCTCCACGCGAGCACACAAAATGACGGAGGTGTGAAGGTTGAACTGCTGCCGCAACTGGGTGGCAGACAGACGCCACAAAGTAAATTCGATCTACCATCGCTCTCCAGGGGCCCTCTTCTTTGAGGAGGATTGCCCATGCGGTGGGGCCCGCAAGAAGACTTGGGAATCCATCCGGCAGAGACGGCCGCAATAGCTCACAATCGCGAACAACTGCAGTAACCCATCTCAGCGGTCTCCTTTGCGGTTACGCGTGCGCGAGGGCAACGAGCGCACGCGGACGATGCAACACTATGCGGCAGAGATGTCGTAATCTCATTCTGGCTATAACACACTCGATGGCAGACTGGCCAAGCTGGCCGGTACGGCAGAGGCGAGGCTCACCGTGCTTGCAGCACGTAACCAAGCGCAAGACCACGCCGCGCAAACCCATCGAGGCTCAGAACAGCGCGGTGCAGGCACTAACCGAGCCCAGGCTACCCGTAGCCTTCACAGAAGCTCAGAGCAAACTCGCAACAACAACCACTCAGAGTAGTAATAGAGCGCAGCTGCTGGAGATTCAATTCAATTCCGCTGGCCTCGATGTGATAGAGGTGCGAGAGGGTTGCGCGAGAGAAGAGCAGTTTCTTGCCGGCATCGTCTGCGACCGTTTCAATGGAGCCGCCATTCCACAGCGAGGCCATGTGCATGAGATCTGGCTACGGCGTCCTCCAGAATGGCGTCGCGTGAATTGGATTATGCACAGCGGCCGCTTGGTAGAGGTGAAGGTCAAACTTCGCGGCCAAGCTCATCGCTTGGTGTTCTGATCCAGCCATGCCCCGATCGAGGCGGACAGCGTTGTTAACGAGCAGTTATTACCCTGGGATGTGATGCTCCGCGCAACGCATGGAGTTCAGGAGATCGGGGCGGATGCCGCGAGGCTTTTCATGCGACGCCAGCATTGGGTCAGAGGTGGTCTTCAGCATTCTCGGCGACGTCACCCCTGACGTGGAAAAGGAGAACGGGTGCTTTCCCAGGACCGGTGCTGCGACGGCGCAGGTCAAGCTTTGCAGCGGCATCTGCGGCGCAGGGCATGCGTGGCGGTCAGCGCGAGGCCGCGTTCATCATCGCAGCGACGTCGTTGGCTGCGATCCCGAATGGTCTGGGCCCGAGCCAAAGTGTTCCTGTCCTGAAGGGGTCGCTCGTGCACGTGGCGCCAGGGAATATCATCGACTCGCGCGCGTGGACATTGTTATTCCCATGGGAAGCGCGGGCTCAGCAGATGCGCGTGCTCGTGCTCTAGACCGGATCATGTACAATGGGCAGAACTTGGAGGATCGCGACCGCGCGCAGTTTTTCGAAGGCCCCTCTTTGCAACTCACTCGGTCAGGGGGTGCTTCAATGCACAAGCACACGGGCGAGATCACATGTTATGTTAAGAGCGTCGCCGCGCGAGCTCTCGGCATTGCCCGGCAGCGCTTTGCCAGCCCTTCGTTAACCATGCGCGTGGGAACTTCTCAAGCATTCAGGCCCTCTGCGGATCTCAATGCATCGCGTTCGACACGCCCGTGACCGCGAGTGCTCGCGCCATGCGCTGCATGGTTGGGGCACTGCGTGCTTTCGAGAGCTTGGCATGAATGATTGGGTGATACGGCTGGTGGAGCGCGGGCTCCCGCGCGCCTCGGGCGGGCAGCGTGCGCGCCAATTCCCGAGCGCGCCGTCGTCGCCCGCCACCTCGCGTTCTGTGAAGCACGAGCCTTTACTTCGTCGCAGTGCGCCGCGACTGCCTCGCCCCCTCCGCTGCGCGCGATAAGCGAACGCGGTGCGAAAAGCTCGCGCGGCAGGCTCAGTGGGCGGCCGGGGCCGTTGACGGCCGCAGCTGTTGCGCCGCGTCGAGGCGTCTTTTCTGGGCTTCGGCAGAACCCCCCGCCGGAGTTCCCCACGAAGGGCGGCGCCGCGTTCTCCGCGTCGGAAGAGAGAAGCGACCGATTGCACGTGCGGTTTGCGAAGGTATCTCGGGGTCACGCGCGCACTTGTTGGGCTGAGTTGGAGACGGAGCCGCAGGGCCGCTTCAGGCGACGTCGATTACCGCCCATCGCGCCCCCCTTCGATCAACCGCAAACTGTCTCTCCAGAAAGGTCTCGGTCTCGATGGCATCGGGCTGAATCTCGCGCGTGCCGGCGGCCCCGCAACGGCGGCGCTGCGATCTCGGACGGTCGATCGAGCTTTGGCTGTTGATGATTGGCCTGGCCAAGTCTCAAGTGAAGGGCCGCGAGTTGGCTTTCCCGTTTCAGGTGAAGGGCGGGCCGAGGGCCCTTGACAGCGTTCGCGGTCTGTCCATCTGCAACCGCCTGACCAAGACGTGCACTTCCTTCTTGAAGGGGGGGCCGGGCCCGCGCTGCCACGATTTCATTCCCGAGCAGCCGCGCGGGGCAGTTGCTAACTGAGGCGCAGACTTGGAGCGCGAGTTCTGGTTGGGCACCCCGCAGCGCGTCGGCGGCAGCGCGGAGGCTCGGAATTTGCTTTCTTGCGGCCTGGCCGCGGAG